TTGATAAAAGCTTGTTTAATTTTTCTATTAGGTCCCCACAAAGCAGAACAGCCCTATTTTATTTTGCTACTTGAGAAATAACATTTTTTCATGTACCTCCAGCAATGCACTCACCTCTCCTAGAGGTATGCGTACCCTGGTTGGGAGTCACTGACTTAGAACTCCAGAATCATCTTGATTTCTTTATGAAAAATGTATAGGATCCTCATCCCCTCATACTACTTCCTTTATTGCTGTAGTCTTCATTCTTCATCTCTACTGCTACCTACTTTGTCTGTTCTCCTACATCCCTGGTACTCTATCACATTTGATTATCTGACCAATTGCTATATTTTGAAAGCTCTGCTTTTGGCAGCATCTGCCATCCCTAATCAGCCCAGAGTACCAGTTGTCCCAGACTGCAACCCCCATATTACTCTGTTACTGTACAACTCATCACACTTCTTTCCTTCTACTTCAGCTTCTCATCTCAATAAACTTTTAAATCAACACTTTTCAGGAGTGGTCTTTGATAGTAAAACAGCTGTTGTGACTCCTATGAATAATGGTCAGCAATTCTCACATTCAGGTCATGTTCTCTGTCCTTCAGTTTCCACCCCTCCCTCCTTGTCAAGTCTCTGGCTGCCGCAGGGCCATTTATCTTTAGCCACATGGAATCACTGTTATGGGATCAAGATCATTTTTCTAGAAGATACACATTATTTGATGGTCATTTTTTTTCTACCAATCTTATTCCCTTTACAGGTGGAAGATGGCAGTCATGCCTGCCTGGCAGGAGTTCAGCAGGGTGATGAGGTGGTGTCGATCAACGGGGAGCCCTGCGCTGATCTCACCTTTTCACAAGCTTTAGCACTTATTGAAACATCCATCAACAGTCTGCAGTTACTACTCAAAAGGTTGTTCAATCTTACAACATTTAGTTAAAATAATCAATAGGTGGCAAAGATAAACATAGTATATCGTAAATTTAATGTTTTACCATTATTGATAAAACAATCACTCTGTTGCCAAAAGCATTTCTTTTTCGGTCTTCAGATATACTCGCAGACAAACTTGACTGATATCTTATGGTTTGATAGAATGTCTACCCACTTTTTTTTTACTAAGCCAGCTTGAAGTTCTCTTGGAGCACTTTCTCCAATGTTTCAGACTGTTTATTGAAGTATTTGCCTATTTGTTTTGCCAAGTACGATCTTGGATAGGAAGACTTGCATTCTGCTTTAATTTATCCCAAAGGTTCTCTATCATGTGGAAGTCATGAATTTGTTTGTCAGTAATTTTAATTCAAAACATACTAACTAATTTCCTTTTTGCTAGAGCGGAGTGAAGTCAGAATGGGAACAGGCCATCACTAAACTGATCTTAAAAACTTTGGAGACTATCAAAAAGTCATGGCAAAACATTAAATGTACCTTCACGGAAAATGCCCGAAACCGTCTAGACATGATATGTTACCTAAAGGTATTGTTGAGGATTTTCACGAATTTTAAAAGACCTGCCCTCTCCACTTTAAGAAAAATTCTCATGCACATCCCTCTACCCGGAATGCCTATTAAATGCATGCGAGAGCATGTACAAGCCCATTTCTCCTCGTACACGCTCTGTTTAAAAGTTGCAGTTCTCATAGCTCATTCAAGCTTACTCTGTCCAAACGTCCGCCCTAACCCTTAAATCCCTCAATCACTATATAGAGCAGGGTCTATATAGTGGACTTTATAGCGAACTTGGTTAACCTGACCGTTCTGACAGATGATCACTGCTTTTTGCTCCCTGTCATGTAGTACCTCCTCTACTGCACGGTGCCTGCGCAATCTTTATTAGTGGCCACTGTCATGTAATTAATGGTGACAGCAGGCCGCTATGACAGCAAATTCTATAATACTTTTCAAGGAGAGCTCTCCGATTAAAGCATTGCAGGATTTATCTGCCTCTTCTAAGGCCTTTTGTTTCTTCTCATACACTTCGTAGACACTTTTTCTGTTATGACCCTTGGCCATTTTCAAAGAACCGCGATGAGAAAGGTGAGCTTCAATGACTGTCTGAAATCATATCTCACCAAAGATATATGCTGGAAAGCGCAATGTGCAGAAAAAGATAGCTAAGGGGAAGATGCATGTAGGATGGCCTTATGTAAACATATCACCAGAATGATTGACAATTAGGAGGACCGATTATTAAGATGATCCACCCAGAAATAAAAGATTGTCCTCTATACCTTTAAGACATAACATTTGATAGTAATGTAATGTAAGTAATTTGATAGTAAAAATGATAGCTTTGATTGTGGTTTTATTATGGCCTATTACAAATTCCCCAATATATAGGGCACCAGTACAAGTAACTTCATATTAGACTTAAACTTAGACATGCTATAATATTGTAGATAATCATTGTTGTAGGTTGATTTTTATTCTTAGTGAAAAGTGAACTTTTAAACTTTGTTACCTTTTCTTTCTTCTGCATATAGAATGGCTTTTATAATGGAGCTGATAACCTTTAGTGTACTTCTTTAAATCTATGAGGACCCGGTCCCACTTTTCATTTGTATTCTTCAGAATCCAACTGACTGGAGTTCAGTGACTCCAGTAGGATAATGAGATTGTTTAATTTCCTTGGAAGAACCCCTTCAAATTGGAAATTAGTACCAGTGAGGTGTAAATGTAATTACTTTCCCCTTTATGGATCTGACCTTTTGTTTAAGAATGACTGAGGATTAGTTCTACTTCATTGCTTTGACAATTTATACCTTGTGTCTTATTGCTTTAATCAAATTTTATGTGTTTAAATGGTACTCTTTGGACATTATTCTGTCTTGTGCAAACAAGAAAATAGTTTACATATTTAAACCTATCATATTTTTTCTATTTGTTTTGTTTTATAGCTGCCTCAATTTTATAGAAAAAAAAAACTGCACTTGATAAAATTTATTAAGGCCAATATTAGTTTTACATATGAAGCACTTTAAATACCCATCAGGCCCTACACACTACACACAATAATAAGATACAAATGATCAATCATAAAGCACATTTCTATAAGTAAATTTGCATGTTAAGAACAAAGAAAATACAACAAAATAATATATATTTTTAATTTCATGGCTGTTTTGTTCTCACTCTTCTCTTTGAAAGATATATCATCTCCTCTGATGACTCTGATTCTGAAGGAACGTACCTTGGCAAAACTGTCTCTTCAGATGAGAATTTCAAAAGCACCACCCTCCACACTATTTCTCCAAAGTCTGAAATTCCAAAAGAGATCTGCATATTTGATCCCCAAGGTAATGTTCTCCACCGGGAGTTGGACTGTGACAATGAGGCCCCCATCAAAGGTAACCTATCAGATGATTTGGGAGACCATGAGCTGGATTTTAAGCATGAAAATGAAGTTGAAAGGTGCTTCTCCCCTGGAGAATTTGTGGAGCTTCAGGTTTCCCTGTCTAAGCAGACCTTGGACAATGGGGTCTGCACCTCTCTTGGGAGTGCTCAAGGGATTAAGGGTGACTTTTCAACCATTGAAACAACTAACACCACCTCAACGAGTCATGTGCCATACACTGATAGAGAGCCACTCGGACAGCATGGCTTGGTGGTCAGTGCTCCCTCAGTGGATGTCACTTTGCAGCCGCCTGATGCATCAGAAGCTGGGAGGGGTGCTCTGAGTGTGGGTGGCTCTGTTGTCATTGAAGACATTGGGTTGCAAAGGGAAGAGAAGGAAGGAGGAGGACTTTGTCAGCCTGTTCCTGGATCTTTTACTGTCTCATTTGAAATTCCATCTGATGAGGCAGCTTTTTCAGAAGAGCAGGAAGACTCTGACTCTGAAGGTGATCAAGGAAAACCTAATAAGCATCGGGCAAAACACGCAAGTAAGTTAATTTTGAGCATTTTCTATTTTTGCCTAGATATATTGCATCACTTCAGTGCATTTGTTGGCATGTGTGCATTCCAAAGCCTGATGTCCAGTGTGTGTGTGTGTGTGTGTGTGTGTGTGTGTGTGTAACTCTTAAAATAGTATGCCTTAAACTACTCAGGAAGGCAGGAGCTAATTCCTTTCAATGAAAGCAGATATGGGAGAACCAGAAAGGGTATTTTTAAGAAGTATGACACAAACTGTTAGAATTTTAAAGACAAAAAAAGTATTGGTCATTCTTGAAAAGCAATAATTTCTTCAAACATTGTAAAAGTTTTGTATGGGGGGAAATATAGATGTAGTGAGGAGCTTCTCTGAGCTGTGTAAAAGACAGAAATATCACCGGAGCACAGTGATGATGACTGCAGAAGTGGCTCCTTGACAGACACCAGCATGTGTTCCCCTCATCTGTTACCTGATCCTTTCAAACTGGGTGCTTTAACTGGGCTGAAAAAGTGAGGGTGTTATTCACTCGCCTTGTCTTCTCCACCCATTGGTTTCTCCTGCGTGAACATTGAAAAGTAAGCCTGTCTGATTTCTTTTTTGAGGAATAACTTTGCTTTGTCAGGTTGTTCAGTTCAAATGTTGTAACTTGTATTAACTTAGAAATAAAGACTTCTTAAGACAAACCAACTCTTAAATTCAATTCATGCATGCTATTTCTAGATTTGATATAGTTGGCTTGTTAGTCTAAATAGTTGATTTGATGTATGGTATTTTATGTTTTATGAATGAATCAAAAAACAAACAAACAAAAACAAATATCATATAGGTCAGATAATTTAATTGGTCCTCTGTTGGATTGCTATTTCACACAGCTTAATATACAGTACTGTTACAAGCAGGAGACTTTAAGACAAATAGGAATATAAGATATGATCATGCAAACACAGGGTTAATTTTAGTTTTAGTTGTTGAATGTTTAAACCTTTTAACCATATTGCAAGAAAAAAGGTATATATTAAACCTAACTCTATCTTATCACTTTAGCTATTTTCTAAAACAATTGACATATATAATCTCATGATGCACAAAAATATTTTATCTGTGTTGTATTAAATGTTTAATTTGATTCATATTTTTCTGCCCTTTTTTATGTCAATAAGTTCTTAGGGTTTTATGTTCTTTCACGGTTCCTGGCAATTGCTCAATAACAGTAATATTTCACCCCCCAGTTTAGACTCAAGATGTGTAATGTGACCAAAACAATTATTTCACTCTCAAGCCTTGAAAATACTTTTCCTTTGCAACCCTTATCATAACAATATGTAATGTTATTAACCTAATTGAGCTTTTTTCATAAATTTAGTCTCTTTTAGTTTCTAAATGTGTAATTAGGAACTTTATTTTGAAATTAAATTAAGGAAAAGGTAATTTCTTTCCCCTATAATTCAGGAGTTTCATTGTACTTTGATATATTCTAAACACAGGACTTTTTTTTTTTACTTCTCTACACAGGGCTCAGACGCAACGAAAGTCTGTCAGAGAAACAGTTGAAGGAGAATAAGTCCAAAAGTAAACGTATTGCTCTCCTTCTGTCTGCCGCTCCATCAAACCCCCATAACAAGGGGTTGTTGATGTTTAAAAAACATCGTCAGAGAGCCAAGCAGTTTACACTTGTAAGCTACGGTACAGGGGAGGATGAACCAGAGTTCAGTGACGAAGAAGACGAAGTGAACGGAGACGAGAAGCAAGAAAACCCAGCTGGTGAATTTAGCCTCCAATCAACGATAGATCCTAAATCAACAAAGAGATTGCCTTTGATTGCTGCAGGTAGTAAGGGTGTACTAACTTTTACCTTGAAGAAAAGTCTTCTTGAAATGAATAATAACTTGAACAACCAAGTAGAGATGGAATGTTTGCCTGAAACCAAGGGCAAGGGTGCCCTGATGTTTGCACAAAGGCGGCAGAGGATGGATGAAATTACTGCTGAACATGAGGAACTTCGGCGCCAAGGATTACCTGTGGAAGCAACACAGACACTGGAGAAAAAAGTAGTGGAGCAGTCCTATATACAGTCCCCAGAAGGCCATGCTTACATGGATGTAAATATGCACCAACAAAATCAACAACAGTACCAGCAGTATCAGGAGCAACAGTACTATGAGCAACAACAGAAATACCAGCAGCAGCACCAACAGTATCAACAATATCAGCAGCAGCAGCAGTATGAACAACAATACCAGCAACAGCAACTGTATCAGCAACAACAACAGTATCACCAAGAGCAGCACCAAATGCACCACTATTCTACAAACACCAATGGTACAATTCAGCATGAGACAAATGAAATTCAGGGTTCTTTCTCCAATCGTACTGCAAAGCCCTTTACAGCAGAAAATGTGGTGGCAACCCCTTATTCTCATGCAACAAGTGGGACCAATCAAGATTCTGTGGGCCAAGGAGAAAATATAGCCTCCCGAGATGAGCGCATATCTACTCCTGCAATCAGGACCGGCCTGCTGTTGGACTCAAGGAAAAAGAATACCAGCAAACCTATGTTCACATTTAAAGAAGCCCCCAAAGTATCGCCTAACCCAGCTTTACTGAACCTTCTCAACAGAAATGACAAAAAAGGGTTTGAGTCTGGACCTGAGGAAGACTATCTTAGCCTAGGGGCTGAAGCTTGCAATTTTCTACAGGCCCAAAGACTTAAACCTAAGATTCCTCCACCCGTTGCCCCAAAGCCTATGATCAACCCCAACTCTCCTCCTTGGTCTGCTCCGATAGAAGCAGCCAACCAGGACATACCTCAGTGTGCTGAAAATAGTCTGTCAACACCTGCTGCAGCCCCCACTACAGAAAATGACCCTGCTTCAGAACTAAAGCCAACTACTGCACCTGCCCCTGAGCCCTCTACCCTTCATACCCCTGAGGAAACTACTGCAAATCCCACAACAGAGCAGCAAACATGGACTCTGCCAAAGCCAGAATCCCAACAAAAGCCTCCACAAGTTGCACCCAAAGAGGCACATGAACACATGATTTCTGCTCAGCATTCTGAGACTTCTCAAAACATGTCATGGGGTTTAGTATCGTCACAAGCACATCAACAGTCGTCTGCTTCTTCGTGGCAATTAACACAAATGCAGCCTCAGAATCCACCTCCAAGTCAATCTCCACCACAGCCACCATGGGTAACACGACAACCTACCCAGAACCAACCAACCACCAATACTTGGACTTCTCATGGTCAGCCATTCTGGACTCAACCAGGAGAACAAGCACAACCTCAGACAAATGCTCAGCCACCTTGGGCCCAGCCACAAGAACAACTTCAATCCCAGATACAGGTTCAACCACAATGGATGCACACGAAGGAGAAGCCTCTTTTCCAGCAAACACACCAATCGTGGAATGAACCACAAGTACCAGTGGAGACACAGCCCAGGAATCAGTGGACACAGCCATCCCAAACAGATTCTCAGCAGCAGACACCATGGGCTCAACAAGTGCAGCAAAAGCCTCAAGTGCAACCTCCATGGGTTCAACAAGTTCAGCCAAATATACAACCACAGCCTCCATCGGTTCAACAGGTTCAGCCAGAAACACAGTCACACTGGGGACAGCAACATCCAGCTTTGCCACAATCATGGGCAAATAACCAAGTACCTGGTCAACCTCAACCACCCTGGGTCTCAACTCCACCTCACCAGCAACCACATGGTAATCTATGGCCAGCATCACAATCACAAGTTCAAAGTCAGCCATCATGGATGAATGCACCGGAAGTATGTCAAGCACAGGCTCCAGTTAATCTGAATCCATGGGCACCAGTTCCTGAAAATCCACCTCAGACATCATGGGCTCAGTACCCTCCGGAACATGGTGGTGAGCAGCAAACAAGTTCTTGGACCCAAGAGCAAAATCCGGCTCAACACCAGCCACCCTGGGCTCCAGCAGTTCCCTCACAGCTCACACAACAGTCCAACTGGCAGCAGTCCTTTTCAAGCACATCTCAGCAGCCACAACCTAGTACATGGTCTTCAGGTCAAGCTCAGCCTCCAACGCCGGTTAATGAGTGGAGACCACAGTTATCCCAGACACCTGTAAATGTTTCTATGTCTGCAGTTAACACCCAATCTTCTCCCAAACCGTGGCATCCAACGCAAAATCAGACTCCTCCTCCTCCTCCACGCCGAATGGTCTCTTATACTGTTGGTCAAAAAGCTGCATCACCTGTCAACCCGATGGCTACTGTTTTAAATCCTAAAATGACCCAAGGTTCAGCTTTTGAGATGCCAGTTGTCAAAGGAAAAGGAGCTGACATGTTTGCCAAGAGACAGTCTCGTATGGAGAAGTTTGTTGTGGACTCTGAGACTGTGGAAGCCAACAAAGCAAGCCGATCAACATCGCCAGCTGCATCCTTACCAAATGAGTGGAAATATACACCCAATGTACGTGCTCCACCTCCCAGGGCTTACAATCCTATTCAGTCTCCATTTTATCCTCCAGCAGCAACAAAACAGCCCCCTGCAAGTAGTCCTTTGACTAAAGCAAAGAAAAAGGACCAAGAGAAATCAAAGCCTGCCCCGAAACCGCTTAATGTTATCGATGTAATGAAGCATCAACCTTATAAATTAGATTCTGCACTCTTTATCTTTGGCCCAGGAGCTGAGGCTTCTAAGCCACCTGTACCAAAGCCCAGCTCTCCTCCTAGTACAAATCCTGACACCCAAACAATTAAATATGAACAAATGGCTCCCATTCAGCAAGCTGGGCCATTTACACCTCCTTATCCCCAAGGCTATGGGATACCCATACAGCCTGTAATGCATGATCCCCAGTATCAGCATGCCCAAGCTAATGTTTACCAATATCCACCACCTCCTGGTGGTGTGTACCAACAAGATTATAACCAGCAGTATCAGCAGCCTGTGCCACCACCTTATCATCCCCAAGCCCCTCAGCCGTTAAACCTACCATACCAGCAACCTGCTTACCAGCCAGCGAGTAGCCCTCCTTATATGGCAACTCCTTCACTTCAGTACAAAGCACAGCCTAGTAGTAGTTACAATGAACCAAGTTTCCCTTCAGCTCCCAGGCTTGAGTCTGTAAGTGGTGGCAATACTGGGGCAGCCCCCAAACCTAAGTTTACAGCTAACAAGAGTTCAGCTCAGGTGTGGAAGCCGACATCAGCTGAAAAAGAGTGATTTTTCATAGGCAAATGGCAGGAACATTGCCTATTTTATACAGTTAGTGCTCTTTCAAATTGGCCAGTGGAAGAATTTGAACAAATAGTGCAAACCTTCTGGTGGAATCAATGCCTCCGCCTCCTGGATTGTTATAATGATAAAACTTTTATTTGTTATTAGATTACAAACTTTCAGCCCTTATTCAGATTAGTAAAATATATATATTTTTTCTTTTAAGAAGTAGGCTAAACCTGGGTAGTTGTCTGCAAATCTAAGGTGATGTTAAGAATGTAGGGGAGCATTTGGGCATTTTAAAAGGAAAGCAAAATGGAGGGGAGTAGAATTGAATGGTACATAGGATACGAGAAAATGTGTTTAATTGTGTAAAGATGAAATGTTGAACAGTCCTAATATTATATTCCAAACTGATAGCAATTGAGGGAAGGGGGTTGTGGGAGAAAGGTATAGTTTGTATTCACTAATGCAATGTCAGTGATATGAGAAATCACCTTTGGCTTTGAAGGTAAAGTTAAGTTCAAAACAACCACAAATTATTTTTGCTGTAGTTCAAAAAGATTGCAATCTAGTGTGTGGAAATTGAAGAGTAATGAACAGTTTTTGAATGGAATGGATATACTTGAGTGAGGGATTGCATTGTGCCAAGGAGTTGATGCAATCAGCTGGTTTTCCTTAGATAGAGAGCTTTGAACCGATCTGACTGTATGATCTGGTTGAAATATCTGTAAAGTGCCTTGAGATGTGATGTGAATTGACCCATGTAAATAATCTGAACTAAATTGATATATAATTGATTCCAAGCTTGGAAATTACAATCCAGCAGCAAGGCAAGGAAACATGAAATATAGCACTAAAAGCATGAAAATATTCTTATTTACAGAAAGTATTTTGAGTTTCTTTGTTTTTATGTAATTTCTTTTTAATATCTCCTTCTTAGGTGGGTTAGTGTTATTTTAAGCTGCTTACCAGCTGTTGCATCATGTTAGATGCTATATTTAAAGTGCCTTAAGAGAAGTCCAGTTCTGACATCCACATTGTGCTGTAGGCTTAGATTTCACATCAGACAACTGAAAGCTAATACCTTTTAGACATTAGTGAGTTATCCTCTTTCAGGGTTATCATTAACACATCCTTATCTGTTTAACATATTGTTTCGATAATTAATTTTCAAACCCCATAGGTTAAGGACTATGTCTTATGAGTACAATGTACATATGGTACAGGGCTTCTTTTGTTGTGTTTCTGCTTGATTCTTTTTATTGTGCACTTTATGTATGATTAACTGCAGTGCCATTAAATCATCTGTTTTCCTTTTTTGGGTTTCCCTTTCTTTTACTTTGGGTATGCTTTGGGTTTCCTTGCTATTTCTGTCCTTTTTCTTCTGTTCCTGATTTCCCAATAAAAGGAGGCCTTAGTCTCACGATGTTTATATCCTAAAAATATTCTGCAAGTGACTTGCCATCTTGTAATCTTAAAAAGCAGTGTGCTTAGAAAGCACATTACTGGAGAATGACAGTCTGATAATATATTTATGAGAGGTATTGGCTGACTCCAGTGTGGTCTCATTTAATTCAGGAGGTCAAGTGTGTCATGCATTTTTCAAAAAGATGAGCATTTTCTTATTATAGACTTTTGTATCACAGTTAGTTTATGGTCACCTTTTACTGGAAAGAACTTTCAGGACCTAATCTTCAAAAGGTTTACAGGTATTAGAAAATATGCAAACATCTTTATACACTCAGGAAATCTTCATAGTACCGGTAGGTACAAATTTGATTTGTGAGTGCATTTTAGCTGGCATAAATTCTTTTTCCATATGTTCCTTCATATACATGCTGAGCAAACCATTCAAATATGCATGGTTGACGTATTTGCTAATTGAAATACTTACTACTTATAAATGAAAAACACAATGAGGGAACTTAGATATTGTGGAATGTTCATTAAAAAAACTAAATGGAATATAAACCCACATGGTCTCAGAAATATCTTAAATCTGACAAAAGTAACAATAAATATACATTTGATGAAAATAAACAAATTAAAGTCAGACTTTGCTTTTCAAACATTTATTTTAGCAGCATGATTAAAAAGTAAATAAACTCGCATAACAGTCCTGGACAAAATTGGACCCCTAGAAAAGACTGAAAATGATTCAGTCCTCATTTGGATTAAATACCCCCGTGGAAATACTTTCAGGGGTATTAGCATTTTTCACAGCATCTCACTATGGAGTGACAGTTGTCCAAGCTTTATTTCTTTTTCTCATATTATCATATCATTACTTGCCATTGTTATTTAAACATCATAAAAACGGTGAAAAAACAATCTAGAAATAATAAAAAAAATCTCTTAAATTAGTGTATTCACCCTTAATTTGAGTTGGTAAAATGAGATAGCTTGCCAATGAAATGAGTGTTTTTACTCTTGAAATAAGATAATTACATAATATGCACTTGAAATAAAACAATGCAATTGTGTTTTCTTATTTTAAATGTAAATTGTTTTGTTCCATTGGCAAAATGTCTCTTTTACCTCCTCGATCCAAGAACAAAGGCACTTATTTTAAGAAAATAATGACCTATATAGATTTATATTTTTTTCCAGTGCATGAACTACGAACCATTAAGACAAAAAAAGGTAATAAAAATTATATAAGAACTTAATAATGTAGGTTAATACTAATGATAAATCAAAGCAACACAACTCTCTTACAGCTAATTGAAATGGGAACTTTGGGCACTCGATCAAAAGCAGCCAGTTACAAAGAAGCACATTACTCCAACTTCTTTAGTTTGATAAAAATAACAGAATTTGAGTCATGGACTCGAACCTGAGATTTAGACATGAGTCTCATCTAGCCCCCAATTTTCCAAAGACATTATCTTTATCAGCTTTTTCTATTTGAGGCTTCTTATTTTACACCCTTCCCATTTCTCCCTTTCTAAGAACATAACCTCAATACTTTGCCATAATTACATGTACAGAAAAATGAGTGAAGAAACAAGAAAAAGATTCCATTTGAAGGAAAATATAAAGAAATTATATATTTTTTTGGTTTAAAACAGCAGTATTTAAATTATTTTTCTTTTCTCCTGGATGTAACCTTTTTCCTATTCTAAGCTCTTTTTTTTCATCTCCACATGTTTAGACAGTACATATAACTATCCACAGGATGGCAGCACCTACCTCTTGTTTTGTCTGCTGTGTTTCACAGACTGTACTAACATGGAGACAATACTGGTGTTCACCCTCCCCTTAGACCTTCCTTCACTTCTTTTCTCTCTGATACACACATTCACTGAATACAGTCACAATCTTAAAACATTTGGTTTGAGAAGTAAAGAGTTAGCCTGCTCTGTTCTGACAAAATGGCTTATTGTAGCCTTGAAGTTATTTTAATTTACATTTATTTTTAATAATGACATTCAACCTTTATGTGTAAGATCTTTGTAGATGTTATTATTTTTTTGCCAGACAAATAAGCAAGTTTCTAAAAATAGTCTTTCTGAATCTGTCTACAGGCAATGGGGAGAAGCTACTCCCTTTCTCCCCCATCCAGGATGCAATTCAAAGGCCAGAAATCCATGTCTGCTTCTTCCTCTCCCAAGCCTCCAACCCGAGTTTCAACAAACCCCACGGTGACGCAGACACCCAATTTGGGCAAAGGCTTCAAACCCCTCACCCCCTGGGAGGCTGCCTCCCGCCACCCCCTGGGTCTTGTGGATGAAGCCTTTGCTTTTCAAGACCTCCAGCAGTCTCTTGCCTCAAATGTCCACTTGGCTGCCTGTCGTAAAATCCTACCTGAGCCTCCTGTCGAGTGGAAGGGAAGAATCAGTTACCCAGCACAACAGAAAACAGGCACCCAGGCTTGGAGCCAAGGCTGCGGTCAGAGCCAAGCTCCAATTGCATCTTTCATGTCTCCGCTGAGAAGCCCTGCCTCCAGCCCAGTCAACCTGGTAGGTTACAGGTCACTTCCCAGGCAGTGGCAACCTCAGAGGTATGGGGTTGAGACAAACCAGAGAGCCTCTATGTCTGCATCCAGGAGGCCAACATACATGTCAGCTTACACTAACAGTACCTTGACCTGGAGACGGTAGATCACAGACAGGATGTTTGCTAGCAAATCAATATCACTGTCTTATCCAATTACAGACTTAAGCATGGTTTCAGCAATTCTTTTTAAAAGTTTTACTTTTTTGCTTTCCAGAGAAAAGGTCTTGCATAAAAGGACCGACTTTGCATGCAACATTTAATTAAGGAAGGAGGTGATTAATAAAACCAGGTTATATGAATGCATAGAATTGATGACTGCAACATTTAGCTGGGTACGATGTAGACTAAGGAACAGACCCTGGTAATTATTGGCATCCCCTAGTTAAGATGTGCACACACCCCTCTCCCAGTGAGCATTGGATATTCTGTTTAGATTTTTCTATTTCTGCTGCCCCTGTAGATCTGGGCAACTTTAGATAAAGTATTTTCTTCATTCCATTTTGTGACTTATGAAGAAAAACACATCTAGCTCTCTTGAGTTGTATGCCTCTTGATTTTCTTACTTTCAAGAGTGAAAAAAATGCTATCATTGTAACATTGTATTACATTACATATTTATGGAAGTAGGTACAATAATTTGTTCAATCACACATTTTCATCTTTCTTCTGCTTCTTACCTGCTTGGGTCATGGGGGCCACTGCCCATCCCAAACCTAATAACTTGTTGTACCACAAATGGAGAAAACAAGTGGAATCAAGTGTTTATAAATACAGGTCTTTTAGAGACTTTTTTTTTTATATATATAACGGGGAGGAATTTACAGATCCTTGCCAAAATGTTTTAATTTGGGTCTGTTGTTTTTGGTTCATTTATTAATTTAAGAATTTACTATTATTGAGCTAAATTTATGGTTCCATTAGTTCCAGCAAGCTAACCTGAATCCTCTGAGGAACCCCAGACCATTACAAGACTAATACTGTGCTGGACTCTTTAAGTATTAGGTTATGTTTTTCAAATGCTGTGTATGGTTTACCAGGGGGCTGCTCAGTGGAGCAGTGGGTAGCACTGCTGTCTTGCAGCAAGAAGGTTTCTGGTTCAATTCCCAGCCTGGGGTCTTTCGGCATGGAGTTTGCATGTCCTTCCCAGTGCATGCGGGGGTTCTCTCCGGGTACTCTGGCTTCCTCCCACAGTCCAAATACATGACTGTTAGGTTAATTGGCTTCTCTAAATTCTCCTTAGGTGTGTGAATGGTCATTTGTCCTGTTTGTCTCTGTGTTGCCCTGCGATACACTGTTGATCTGTCCAGGGTGTACCCCGCCTTTCGCCCATTGACAGCTGGAGATAGGCACCAGTGCCCCTTGTGACCCCAGAAGGAATAAGCATGAAGGAAAATGGATGGATGGTTTACCAGGTCAGATTTTTCATATAGTTTCTAGTTTTTTTGGTCATTTCCCAGGACAACTTTCCCAAAGATCCTCCATATTTTTTGGGAAATGTAGAATACGGTACTTCTCTTTGTCTAGATTGTGACACAGTCTGTTGCTTTTAAGATTATTTCTAGATCTCTTTATCTTTACCAGGAGAGCCAATAATGGTTAAGAAATGTAAGCTATGTGATTGTATTGCTGATGACTGGATGAGGAAATGAGTATGTTGTTTAGAAAGGATACCAGTGAGGAAAGATCTCTATCTGCTACTTTTAGGGAGTTTTTTTTTTTTTTGCAGAAAAGAATCAAGAAATAGAAAAAGATAATATATGTATGAAAAGTTAGAATACACATTATCAGAATTCTGAGGTTGACCTAGATGCATTTAAGATCCCTTGGAAGATAAGGCAAGCGCTTTTCTTATGCAGTATAGTCACTGCATTAAGAAAATCAATGACTTCTTACAATTCCCAAGGAAATGATACCACCGTGAATGTATATTCAGATTGACATTACCATGAAATATAAGAACTTTTGTTATTGTGTCATGTCTCTACTGTCTAGTTTGCTTTTAAATTATTCTAATTCTTCTTTTTTTAAATATCATTAATTTTCCCAGCATTATACAAAAGGCTTTCACACTCATTAATTGACTTATGCTAATTATGACGCCATCTCCTCTACAGAGTTTGTATTTTTTTTTTATGAGGTGAAGTTGAAGGACCAATCGTTTATACAAAGTCAATGGCTTGTATGACCAAATGTGGTAAAATAGTTCCTCGCTGCATTAATCAGCAATGGTAAATGGACTGAACGTATATATAGCACTTTATCAAGTTCTAGATTTGATAATTTGTTAATTAATCTATTATATCGTGGCAAACTACATTAAAGCCACAATTGCCAAAACTAGCAGAAGCAGTTGGCAACACTGGGCCCTCCTGACTGGTTGTCCTGAAGGGAAGAGAATGTGCCTTAATCAATGAAGACAGAGCTTTTTGCATGGTATAGCATCGCATTTAGAACTGATGTTTTTTTTTTTTTACTTCTTCTTTGCAATATTTGAATATAATTCAAGAAAATTGTTCAGTAGTTGTGCATAAATGCTCTACAAAAGATGTATGAAAATAGTTGGTGGCAGCTTGGTTTAGCTGGAGATCAGATTATCTATATGCACTATTCTATGTGTAGAGAGGTGACTGTGTAGGTTTACACTTATTTAGGGTTGAGTATTGCTGAAAAAAAGATTAATTTCCAATGATCTAGCGGTGGACAGTTCTGAGTTGGTGACTACATTAATAAGCATGAGTTTGAAATGTGACTACCTGACTACCTTTACTCAAAGGCTTTCTTTAACCTCTAATCCACTAACCATGATGTGTACAATGTAAAAAAAAAATCTAAATTAGTAACTTTTTCTTAAAATAAGTGCTTTTTTCTTGTGAGGAGGTAAACGAGACTCTTTGCCAATGAAACAAGACAATTTGGATTTAAAATAAGAAAAAAAACGCATTGCCTTATTTTTAAGGGCATATTATTTATTGATATTATTTTAAGATTAGGAAAACCCATTCCATTGGCAGAACACTTTATTTACCTACTCAAATTAAGGGTAAATTGACTTAATTTAAGACATTTTTACTGATTTACTTATTGATTTACTTAGAGTAGAAACTGACACAATTCGGGTAAAATGTTTTTCAACACAGGTTTTTTTTTTTGTATTCTGTGCTTTGTAAGTCACTACCACTTTGCTGTGAATTTTAAATGTTACTTGTTCTTGAAGTGATTAGTAGATTCTTTTTGGCCACTGTGTTTAGGATTTCATCTAAACAGCTTGAGGAGTTTAGGTAGGTATCTCAATAGTAGAGATTATGATGTCGTATTGTTTTAAGCTTTACATCTGAAAAGGAACTCTTTCAACTATTGAAAAGGTTAGAGCCATAACACAACTTGCCGAAGGTGGATATGTCAAGCAATTTCCAAACAGAGAGATTGACAGGTTCTTTTTTTTTTCTTCAATATTTAACTTGTGCCAAATGGGCTCAGAGAATATGATGACTGCCCAACATTTTTCATTAGTTGAATGGAAAAAGAAGTAAATGTTCTGTTGGAGAGTACTGCAAATGGGATAAATCAACTGCAGTATTGAGAGGCGTAATGAACTTTAGGTTGACATTAAGAGCTGAATTGAAAACGGTCATATGAAGATTATTTTGTTGGATAATTAACAGGTTTACTGCAAGCTAAAGAGTTCCATAAAAACTGTGTGGCCTGTACTTTGACATAAACTTTTAATAATCCTAAAAAATGATAATGATTGTGTGTTTTACTTAAGAGTACACCATGTTCTGGGGTGATTTCCACTGGGCAATGCCAGTATCACTATGATTGGTTGTTCTCACTTTTAGCTACAGCTTATCTTATAGAAAATTTACATCTTCTAACAAAGATGTGTGAACACCTCAAAAATAAACTTATATGTCACTGTAAACAGAGTAAACAGAAAATGAAAACGTTTTATTTTACCAAATCAAACTCACAGTTAGTAATATGTAATTTACTTTGTAGGCATACAATGATTAGTCTCAAAACCTTTAATAGAAAATTCAAGAGGAAAAACTCTCAGAAAGTGATTTATAGAGTTTATTTTATGGTGTTTAATGCATCTTTAACTTTCCCCAGAGGTTGCTTTTAAATATCCATATGCTGAAACATGTTGTAGAGTGTGCTTTTTTAAATAAAATAAATATATACATTACTACAGAGCTCCAATTTGTAACCTATAATCATTTGTGTTTTGTTTATTTTAGTCTAGGCTGAAAAGAAATCTGCTTTGGGTCATTTTCTGCCTGTTGTACCTTCCCAGGAAGTTTCTTTTTAAAATACAGCTTGAAGAGTCACTACTTGTTGAGCACGGCAGGGGTTTTGGAGGGAGATTCATTTCCATGGTGACCACTGGTTATGTGAAAACAGGGTCAACCCACTGTAGCTGGGCCATTAGAGAGAAAGAGATAACAGAACAAGGGGATACTATAAACAGAAATTTCCCTTACCGATTTAGATCTGACAAACAGTTTGCCATTCCTTAAAATCAAACATGAGCAAAGGCTATAAAGGGCAGCATAATTAGAAAGTATTTAATTCACAGGACAGGACATTCAGTAATGCAGCTACTCTGAGATGAAACAGTCCCTCTACTCTATTTGCTTGCTGAAGTAATAAATACTTAAAATATTAAAGGTTAAGCAGAACAGACTGTAGCCACTGTCTGTAATTTAAGATAAACATCTAACTTTTTTTGTTGCAGAAACTGAATCTAAAACTGACAATATGTTGACCCTGAGTAGGCCGTGTTCCCAACAGATCACTTATTGTTAGGAGTGCAGCTTTCGAGGTCTAATAGCACTGAGTGGTATTAATACAGACTAAACTTACTTTTTTAGCTATGAACTATAAAGTCTTTTTTTTTTTTTTTTTGTAAAATGTCAAAAAATTAAATGTCATTTTTCTATTTTTTTAACTACTCTTTTGGAAGTCAAAGGCAAAGTTTCACTCGAATTACTATGTCTTTAAACATTTTAGGGATGTACAAAGGATGCTTTCAAAACCTCTGAAGGATGAATTCTTCCACATCTAAGATTATTAGGCTTAAAATGTGATACTGTTAATGCAACACTTCAAACTTTGCAAAAATGAAAAGAAATCAGCCAAGATGCACCATATTGCCAAAATGTTTCCCTCCCCTGCCTTCAAATAAAAAATCTAGTATTCCAATCAACGCCACAGGTGTATAAAATCAAGCACCTTGAAAGGCAGAATGTTTCAATTTTTTAATTGTAATTTTCTGGGCAATAGGGCTACTTAATATAAAGTGGACAGACAAGAAAGGGACGAAAAGTGCTGGGAAGACATGCTACGTAGGCCTCGTGTTGTATACCCTACCCCTGGGCCACCACCATGCACAATGCTGACTATTTCCACAAACATCTTTTGTTGCTATGCTGTGCATTTGCGTTTGGTTGATGCAGGCTTTGCACCTTAGTTTTTAGAGCAAGAAACTAAGAAACTTCAGCATACCAAGAGATTTTGTACAATTTAATGCTTCCAATAATCTGGGAGCAGTTTGGAGATGAAACCTTTCTCTTATTACATGACAGAGAACCACAAAGCAATAAATATATGGGTTACAAAGTTCAGTGTGGTTGAGCTTGACTGTTAAACACAGAGTCCAGACCTTAACCGATCATTTTTGGAGACGTAGAGCAGAGATGGGGAGTCATGTCTTCTCCAAAGATGATCTCACAAACATGCTAATTGAAAAATTGTCACAAATTCCTATAGACATCCTCCTAAATCTTGTGAACCACCTTCCCAGAAGAGTTAAGGTTCTTTTAAGGCATGTGACTGAAATCTAAGCAAAACAAAATAATATATGCCTCTATTTGCATAGATGTAGTCATCATATTGATTTGGTTTTGTACAAACATAGCACTTAAGTCCTAATGAACGCGAAAGTACCAGCTAATCTACTCCCATTCATAAATCAATGCAGACAGTCCTGAGCTACCGCTGGCTATGAGGGGCGCAACGGAGGGCAAAGTAGGCAGTTGTTGCCATGCTCTAAATTTAGAGCCTGTGAACTAAATACCAATGACAACAGACGAACTGACACCCACCCACTCAGTTGCCCCCTTACTCAGTCACACACTCAGTCGGGTCAGGATTCAGCCCCCTGTGCCCACCCTTCCAAAGTCCAGTATCAGGGATTGCTAGCACCCTCAGTGAGCTGCTCCACGGCAGCCTCTCACCTTTCTGACTCTCTACCTCAAGGAGACAGGCACAACTTGAGACGACCCCCTGAGGGGCCTTCAGGACAGGTAAGCATCACAGGGGCCTCTCTGCAGGTGTGGTTTCCGCCTCTAATGTGACACTTGTGCTTTGGATCAAGCATGACCCTGGTTACATCCTAGAGTTGTTTCCGCTGTTTTTACATAATGTATTTCTGCAGTTCATACTCGTTCACTGATTTTCAGGATTATGCAAAATTATTTTCTGAATCCTTAAAAAAGAATTGCATGACTTTCTTTGTCTTAAGTGTTTTCGACTGGAAAACATTCACCTGTGCCTGTGTTCCTTAACAGCTTGGTGTAAAATGTTCTCCTGATTTTTTTATTTTATTTTTTATTCACCTGCTCACATGTCTCCTGTGACAGCACCCGCTTCCATCCACGTCTCATCATCATGCCACCTGGGCAATTTCAAACATATTGATTCCCAGCTACCCCTGACACGGCTGGCTGCCACGTCTGAAGAGCATGTGCTTGACGTTTAACAACCCAAGGTTATTTAAAGGGATGTGCTAACTTTGCCCTTTTCACCACCCTAATAAATTCTGTCTGCTTCGGTGGGTTTTTGTGCGTGCTGTGGATACTCGATGTCGGTCAATCAATGGCCGAAAATGCCTCTTGTGTTGTCTCTCGTTTTTCTTATCTGAACAGCTTGTGCTGATGTGTGGTGTCTCCTGTGACTTTTCTCTGCCTCACAGTAAAGAATTCCCAGAGGCAGCCATCATGTCGCAGTTTTCGACCATGACTACCAGGGAAAGGAAAATGCAGGCAGCAGCAATCTGCAGAGAGGTTCAAGGCCAAGAGGGTATCTGTTTTAAATATCTTTTTAGGTTTTATGGTTTTAACCGCAATCTAAGTTATTTCACCCATTTCTTTATTTGTTCATGCACAACACTTTACATGAACAAGTAAATATTTTTAACAGTCCTAAGAAATTATCCCTTTATCTTTGTCATTCAAATGTGGTATTCTGAGGCAAGGACAACTGTGCTCGACAGGAATGGGGGTGTTTGAAGGCATCTGACAGCTGAAAGATACTACGGCAAATTATAGATCTCATATTTGGATGCAGGCCGGTGACATCAACATGATCAGCATGCAGTAGCATGAGGAGCTAACCACAAAACAAGTGGCAGACATGAGTTGAAGTGTAGAAATAAAATTTCATCGTTCATCATAATGGAAGTATTGTGGCATCAGCAGTTTATTTTTACAGGGCTTTTAGCTTGTCTTTTGTATTTGTGGGGGGAAGGGTTAAAGCACTTTGGTGTTCGGTAGCAAAACTTTTTTTTTTTTTCAAAATTATTAACACAAATTTGATTTCATAAATTAAGAAAATGTAGTGTATTATTTTAAAATGGATGAAAACTAAGCGTGTGTCCTTTAGCCCGTTATTCTTACAGTAAATTCTGGTGTAATCCTTTCCCTTCACAACTCTTCTAATTATTATACAGTGTCAACCTGTGGGTGTAATATAATTACAGAACCAATACGGCTGCTGATTAAAGGTGTGTAAATTATTGAACAAACAGTATCCAGAAAATGAATAAACATAGCAGAGTAATTATATGAAACAATGTCCAAATCCTTGAACATCTTATAACACATTACTAAGTCTATAGTCTGAAAATAAAAGTTAATCAATGCATGGTGGTCCCCCTACAGGTGTCAAATTCCAGTGCTGGTGTCCTGCATGTTTTGAGCTTCATACCACTGTCCTTATCAAACAGACAGTGAAGCAGAGCTATGAGGCTGATGGTAATTCTTAAAGGGACGGTGTGTAAGATTTATTGCCATCTAGTGGTGCACTGTACGAATTGCAAATTACAGATTGGTACCTCCTCTTTAAGCGTGTGAGAACTATTAAGGATGCCATGGAGTGGCATTTACTAACTGCACCTAATAAATGTTGCGTCTCATCTCATCCAATGTAGGCTAGCAAACTAGTCGTATCTGCCTTTATTCTAACACAGCAAAATAAACTTCACTATTATATTGATTTACCTTACCTGTCCAGCAGAAAAACTGTAACCTCAGCATCTCCCTCATAAATGGCCTCCACCTGGTAAAATCTGCACCATTGTTGTTTTTCCTGGTTAAATCTTTTTCCTTTTTTTGATTTTTTTTTTTACTCTCATTCAACAAAACATACAGATGTTCCTTCATTGCCACAGAAAGTGGAAGATAGAATGATCTACAGTTTAAACCCATAATGCCAACATGTCTGTCCTCTTTTGGCTTCTCTAATGAAAATTGCGGACACAACGTGACACCTCCCACTTTTTGCACCACCCCTAAGCTTTGAGAGTCCTCTTCTTTTCTAGATCATGTCATTAGACTTACACAGAACATGTATTTATCAAAGCAATACTAGATTTTTGCTCACAAAAAGCCTAATTTGTTACACACTGTCCCTTTAAGTATTTGCAAAGACTCATAACTAAGGTGTTTCCTTTAGAAAACCGTACCTTAACTGAAGATTGCTAATAGACAGTTATGTGACAGACATATGACAAGTCATGTCAGTGGTATTTGGTCATTTAGCAAGGAAACTGTGCAGATAACCCTTCAGAGATCTTTAACAATGATAATTTTAGAAGGATTTACAGATGATGAAAGATGGGGAGAATGAGGTATACAGCAAATGGTGGGATGGAATATGAGGCAGTATAAAGGAAGAATCCAGAGGTTTATTTATTGAAGCCAGGATAGAGGGACTAATTAAAAGAAGAGGCCTAGTTAAATGAGGAAGTCTATATAAGAGAGACAAGTGTGGCAAAAGGAAAACATTGAACAGGGAGAAACAAATGTCCAAAGAACAGAACAAAAGAATGATCCAGGAAACAAAGACAAAAACTTTTAGAATCTAATAACAATAAAAGGGTCCTCACATTCAAACACACCGCAATTCCTGTATAAATCAAAAGTTGGGATGAAGGAATGCCATAATAGTTTCTGTTTTATTTATTTTTGCCAGAGGCGATGTAGAGGACGAGCAAACATGATGAAGAAAGAAATCTGTCAAATGAGAGCAAGATGTAACTTTCTTTTAAGTTGCTGATGAACATGAGTGGCAATACAAGTTGCCCCAAACACACTCAATTCATCTGAGAATCTGGCATAACATAAACATTTATTTTCTCAGATTTACTGAGCTTAACATATTTTGCAAATAAGATTGTATGAAAGTTTCACTCTCTAGATGTTAAAAGCTAATAAAGCTGTAGTAGAGCTGAAACTTTCAGCATTTAATGACTGTGAAAATATTTTCTGTGGGGGGTACAAACAAATGTTTACTGTCACAAGACAATGTTTCATTTAGCTCCACTTCCCTCCTTAATTATGCATTTTATAACATGCATACAGGTCACATAGAATCCTAATGAAATAAATTTTTTATTAGGATACAATTGATTTTTTTTTGCTAGTTTTTGCAAACGCTGTAGGTACAAAAGCATTTTTTTTCAGTCGTCTAGTAATTGTAACAAATGCACATAAGATCTTCATACCGTACTGTACTTTTGTCTCCTCTCCCTATCACTCACAGATGCACACATGGATCTTGGGAAGAAAGTGAGTGTCCCTAAAGACATCATGCTGGAGGAGCTGTCGCTTGCCTCCAACCGGGGATCCCGTCTCTTCAAAATGCGGCAGAGACGTTCCGAAAAATACACCTTTGAGAGCTTTCAGAATGCAACTAACAACCAACTAAATGTAAGAAAAAAAAACGTAGCAAAACTACATAAGAAAGCTACTGTAGTTCACACATCACATGGAGTTAGTATAGAGATTTAAATTTAAAGTATGAACCAAGTTCATGCATGAGTCCACTGCCCTAAAGTAAATGTAAATGTGCAAAACATTCCAACTGTGATAAATATCTTGTTTAATTTAAACAAAAATGTATTTCCAAAATTTTCTTTGTTGTTTGTTTACAATTTAGGCACAAGCTTATAATTACTGAGCCAGGATAATAGACTGTGGGAAAAAATTAGATTTGCTGTCTTTCACATGGTGGCAGCAGGGATTGTACTATACAAATATATATATATACAAAATCAAATACTTTGTTATCCTTCAAAATACATAATCAAATTAAACTCGACTGTAGCCATTTCCCGTAGAACAAATGTATTTATGCAAATTTCAAAATATGTAGAAAAGGCTAAAGTAATTTTAAATCACAAAAAAAAAGAATTGTTGAAAACTCCAAAAAAATAAATAAATAAAATACAGAGTGTAGAAAATATCAACTACAAGAACATGCAATAGTAAGTAAAGTAAGTAAGTAAACTTTATTTGTATAGCAATAGAGTTAATTGCAGTTTATTGTTAAAAATGCCTTTATTAATAAAGGCTTTTAAGAATAGTTTAGAATAGTTTCAAGAGCAATAGAGAAACCTGTAAGTATCTTAACAACAACAGGAAAACAGGTATACTTAAATAACAGTAGTTAAACAAATAAAATGATAGACATAGAGTTCCTAGATGTTTTAAATTGAATTTTATTATGAGTAATAGGTCTCCTTTTTCTTATGAGGTAGAGGTATGTATACAACCACACCCCCACCCCCCAAACACACACACACCCTTCATTCATTTCTTTAATAAACTTAGAGAAAGAAAAACAAATAACAGAGAAAGGTTAGAAAATTGCATTTCTGCACCATTAAGGTGATTCCAAATAATCAGCTTACTTATGTTGCCTGGACATTTTGTACAGAGGATATGGGCTCTCCTGTTAGAGCTTATTCTGATGGTCCATCCGCATCAATTCTGCTACACATGATATTTATGCTTGTGAATGTGTTTAAAACTCTGTTCTTGTCTTTTCTCAAAAGTTTTATTACAAATTCTGCATAATTTAATCTAAAATTACCACTACAGTCACTGAGACACAACAGACATAAAGCATTAGAGTAACAGACAGCCCTTGTTTTCTGAAATTTCTTGCTCTAAAAGTGTATTCCTTGAAGAATAGAATTAACATGACAAAAAATTATATACCTGACCTGGGTTATCTTGACCTGAGCTAAAGATACTACAGTCATTGTACTCCATATTATATTCACACTGAAAATCTTCTACCAGGACATACAAAGCCTTATTAATGTGCTTTGTGTGCAGGCAGCCAAGTCAGCATTTCCCTCATCTCTGCCCGACCTGTCCAGTGTAAAATGTAATCAAGCCATACTAAGCTTCTCTTTGTTACATCTAACTAATAGCAGAGCTCTAACCTTCTATTTGTGTGTGTGTGTACCAGCGTACCTCACATTGTTCCTTTAAA